TTCTTAAGCAACCATTTATCTGATTTCTGTCTCTATAGATTTGTATTTTCTGGAAATTTCATATGAATGGAATCAAATGAAATGTCTTTTCTATCTATCCTTTTCATTTAGCATACTGTTTTTGAGGTTCATCCATGTTGTAGTATATATCAATAGTTCATTCCTTTTTATTGCCAAATAGTTATTACATTATGTGAATATACCATATTTTGTTTATCCATTCACCAGTTGATGGACATTTAGGTCACTTCCATTTTTGGCTATTAGGAATAATGTTATAAAGATTCTTGTACAAGTCTTTTTGTGAACATATGTTTTCATTTCTCTTGAATAGATACTTAGGAATGATGTGACTGGGTCCTATAAATCTATGTTTTAACTCTTTCAGAAACTGCCAAACTATTTTCTAAAGTGACGGCACCATTTTATATTCCAGCAGCAATGCATGAGAATTCTAGTTTCTCCCTATTCTGGCCAATACCTGATATTGTCAGTCTTTTTGATTACAACTGTTCTGATCAATGTATAGTGTAACCTCATTTGGTGTTAATTTGCATCTTTCCAGTGATTCATGATGTTGAGCAACTTTTCAGTGTTGTTATTAGTCATTTGTATGTCCTCTCTTGTTTAATGTCTGTTCATATATTTTGCTTTAGTTTAAATTTGATAATTTGTCTTTTTACTGAGTTGTAAGAAATTTTACATATTCTAGATACAGGTTATTTTGCTTTGTTGAAGAGCAAAAGTTTTTGATGAATTCATTTTATCATTTTTTTCTTGTGTGGACTTAGCTTTTGGTGTATTTAAGAAATCTTTGTTTAATTCAGGGTCACAGAGATTTTCTCTTCTTGAACAGGAATCAGCAAACTATCTTCTGCAGACCACATCTGGCCCACAACTTGTTATTGTAAATGTTTTATTGGAACATAGCCATCCACACCCACTCATTTACATATCACCTGTGGCTGCTTTCTCTTTCCAGTGACAGTTGAGTAGTTATGGAGATTGTATGGCCCCCAAAGCCAAAAATATTTATTATTTACTTTATGGACCCTTTAAAAAGATTGTTGCTGACCCCTGTCCCAGAAGTGTTATTATTTTAGCTCTTATAGTTATGTCTGTTACCCAATTTGAGTTAATTCTTGTGTGTGGTATGAGGTAAAGATCTAAGTGTAACACATTCTCAGGGGAAAAAGAAAAAAAAATAAGTAGCCAGTAGAAGCTGTATCCACATGGGACCAGATTTAGCAAAGACTTCAAAATAATTATTATATGTTCAAAAAAATCAAGGAAACTATGCTTTAAAAAGTTAAAACATGGCAATGACTAAATAAGTAGCAAATATCAACAAAGCTATTAAAAAGAACTAAATGGAAATTTTAGAGTTGAAAAGTATAGCAAATGAAATTAAAAATTTACTAGATGGTCTGAAAATATTACGTAAAGAAGCTGTGATATTAAAGATAAAATAAATCATCCAATCTGTAGAGAGAAAAAAAAAGATTTGAAGAAAAAAGAACAGAGTGCTGGAGGCTTGTAGACAACATCAAACATACCAGGATGCATACAATAGGAGTCCCAAAAAGAGGTACAGTAAAACTAGCAGAAGAAATAATGGCTGAAAACTTTCTAAATTTCATGAAAAACATTAATCTACAGTTCCAAGAGACTCAACAACCCAAAGTAGAATAAGCACAAAGAGATCCCCATCTAGATACACTATAATAAAACTGATGAAAGCCAAAGACATGGAGAAAATCTTAAAAGCAGCAAAAGGAAAATGACTCATTACTTATGGGATAGTGTCAACAAATGGTACTGGAATAACTGGATAACCATACTAAAAAAAAAAAGTGAACTTAGATCTTTACCTCATACCACACACAAGAATTAACTCAAATTGGGTAATAGACATAACTATAAGAGCTAAAATAATAACACTTCTGGGACAGGGGTCTTGTATTTGTGGCTCGTAATTTTTTCTTAAAACTGGACTCTTAAAATCGTGTATCATAGCAACTTGATTCTGGTTTTATTAAAATTTTCTGCAGGTGGTAGTGGTGGTGGTGGTTGTTTCATTTGTTCTTCATTCATTTTTTTTTTCCTTTGAGTAACTTTATTGGCCTTGTATGCAGAATTTATCTCTCCCAAAATTGTGGCTACTGATGTATCTTCTCAGCTTTTCAAAATTTCTTATAATTTGGCTTTCTAGAGTTCACCTTTGTATCTGCATTGCTTAGTGCTTAGCTAATGATTGGTTGGAGATTGTGATTGAACACCTTGGTCCAGTAAGGCTTTCATCCTCTGCTGGTGGATTAGGTATAGTTTGGGGAGCATATTCAAAATTTGGGCCATTTTCTAGCTTGCCTCCTTTCCTTTCTATTGGGTCTTCTCTGGTCTCCCTATATGTGCACGTGGATTTCCAGTCAGCCTGGGATGTGTGATGTTGATTTCTCTCAGATCTCCACTTTCCCTTGGGCATGCTCTCCTAATTAGCTGGCATTTGGGGGTAGCTTGGGACCTTATGGGTCTCCCCTGCACATATGTGCTTGCTTCTTTCTACTCAGACGGGGTTATGTGGAGGGCAACAATCTTTTCCTCAGAATATGTGAATTTATCCCTCTGTGGCTCTCTTCTTTCCAGAATCTCCCTGTTAAATTTCTAGGTAGTCCTCAGGTTTGTGGCTTGCCTCCACTGGTGCTGTAATCTCAGGCTACAAGAGCTACAGGCTTTTCTGTTTCCTGCTGGGTGTGAGTTTTCTGCCCTCAGCTCCAAATCAAAGTCAGCTCCCTTCAGCAATGAAGCTGCTGGTTTTCGCAGCCAACCTCATCATGTTGGTGGAGTGGGGCAGGGGGATGGAGGTAGCTCCTGGTAAGAAGCCAGACTCCTACTGTTCTTCCCAAGAAGTTCAGTTATTTTACATGAATAAACTATTCTTATTGTGTTTTTGTTTGGTTAATTTCTAGAGCACAAAATGGTTTTTTTTTTTTTTTTGACAGTTTTGTAATTATTTTTTGAGTGTGAGATTTTGTACACCCTCACTGGGGAAGACCAACTTGACAACTTGAATTCTAAAATCTAGGAATATTACATTTCAAAGCCAAATGTTCTTTTTTCTAATTCATACTTTGTGGAAATACAGAACAAGTAAATTTTTTTTTTTTTGAGAAATAACAAGGAGGTAGATGTTGATTCAAAGCTTAGATTTCTAAGTATGAGCATTTTACTTTGGTATAGATAGATTTGCAAGCTGAGGCTGAGGGTAAGTGAATGGTTTGGTGGCTCTGTGGAATCGTAGACGTGTATTATTTCTTTAGAGTGAGCCAACAATTGTTGACAAAGTACTTTCCCGGTAGTGTTTCTTACTTCGTAGCAATTTTAAAAACTAGATACTGTAATTATGATCATTTTACAGATAAGGAAATACATTTTTAGGTTAGTAATTTACCTGCCCCCTCAACTTTTATTATGTGATGGAGATGGTACTTGAACCTATTTCTTCTGACTTCTTGTTTTTTATACTCTATGTAACTGCATCCCTACCATGTTATATAATTACTTACATACTCCTTGATTATCTTAATTTATTTATTTATATAGATAATACTTGAAGTTAGAACAGTTCATAACAATCTTCTTGAATTTTTACTAGAGCTCAAATTCTTTCCTTTCAAATGATAATCACTCTTAACTTATTGAAGAGCCCCTATTCATTCATGCAGTTGTTCAGCAAACTGGTAAAAGAGTCAGAGAAAGAGATATTCCATGGCAGCTTCCTCTGCCAGCTTCCTCTTTTTTTCTTACTCCATAGATGCAGATTCTGCCCAAGAAGCCCCTGCATTGCAGAGGGACTGGAGATCTGTATGATCTGTTTATTTCGCAATTGACAAGGGTAAGGGGGTCTTTCTGGGGGAGGCGCTTGGGTGCCCTGAATTTAGCTTTATGAAGCTGGGCTAACACTTATTTTGGGAATAAACTTAAACTTAGTATTTTTAAAAAACCCTTTTATGAATTCTGTTTGTCCTACATCAGTTAAGTGTCAGATTATCATATTAAAACGCATTTATTATAATGGTGATTTTTTTTTTTTTTTAAAGTCCTGTTCAGAACAAGTCAGACAAACATGATTCACGCTTCTAAAATTCCAATCTGGGATCATTTAGAATATAAATAATATTGAATATATGTAAGTAAAATTTCACTGTAATGAAAATTTTTAAAAGGCTTTGGATGAACATCTATTTCTATAGCCCATCATAGTTATTCTTTATTAATCTGCTCTGTTCCTTTTCCATAAATCTGTCAATCTGTAGAGTGAAAAAGGGACTTGTGGATATGTCATAAACATTGTGGGTGGGTGTGGTGTCTTTTTCTTGCTGCTAGAAATTAATACCTACTTCCTTGAATTCTGTGTCTACCCTAGATGCCAGTGAACTTTGAGTTGTATCTTCAGACTGTCCTGTATCTCTTTATTAGTATAGGTATAAGGTGCAGTTGGTGTTTCTTATGGGAGCCAAGATTAAGTTTTGTAGGTCTCACTTGGCAGGTTTATAAAGTGCCAGAAGTGGTGGTATTTATAACAGGATAGGATTAAAATATTGAGGAAGAGTTTAATGCTCTTTTAAAATTGTGGAAGGATTAGGCAGATGATTGTAGCTTTGATGGATAGTTGAGAAGACTTGACTTGGTGATGGTCTGATGGGCTTATTTTTATATTTGAGGACATTATTATACCTGCTAGTAAAATAGCTTTGTTTACCTAAAGAAGTATTGTACATTTCTGTATTTAAATAGATATTTTTAGTATTCTGTATCTCTCATTTTTAAATGATCTTCTTTAAACATTTCATTTATAGATTAAAAAATTCAACAGTATGTATCTTACCATTACCATTATTAATAAATGTTCCACTTTATAGTGCCAACACATTGGAAAACTCTTTTTATTCTTCTCCTTCTTAAATGACTTTTTTTTTTTTTCTTTTTCTGTTTTCTTTAAGCCATAAGGATGAGTTTACCATTATTCCTGTACTGGTTGGAGCTCTGAGTGAGTCAAAAGAACAGGAATTCGGAAAACTCTTCAGTAAATATCTAGCGGATCCTAGTAATCTCTTTGTGGTTTCTTCAGATTTCTGCCATTGGGGTAAGTTCTAGATTTTAACATATTATGGTAGATAATATATACTTGTGGTTAATGGTATCTTTTCACTCTAAGCTCTGATTTTCAGTTCCTTATCACTTCCCTTGGAAAGTTTCACTTTTATCTGCGATGTTTAAAAGTGAATAAAAAAGTCTTTTAAAAAGGATCAGATTATGATAGTGGATTATGGATACATTTCCAAAGGCGACTGGTATAATTGGATTCACACTGTGAGGGCATCCTTGCTTAGCCACTTACATTAGTGGGAGTTAAGATCTTTTAACCCTATTTCCAGGTTGAGTTGTGTGGTAGAATCTCTGAAGTTAGCTTTTTCGTAGATATAACAAATACTCTTCTTTAGAAGGTAGAAGAGCACTGTGTGCTATGCCAGTCCTTTTCCACATTTCTTTTTTTGTAATTAGTGTTTTTTTCTTTCTACTTTTCCTTTGGTACTTAATTTTTGCCATCAGTTTAGAACTACCCTCCAAAGAATGTAACATGTTGGCTATTAGCATTGTGGTCCTCACTGGTAATGGTTTATAAGGGTAGGGACTCTTAAGTGATTTTTGTTATTGTGAATAAAAAGAGTAAGGAAACTTCACAGTAAATAGATCATAAAGAAACACATTTGTGGATGCCTCTTTGAGTAAATTTTATTTTTTGAGTCTTTGAATATAATTTGCTCTCCTTTATCCATTGCTGTTCTAGAGTATTTTTGAATCCTGTTCCTTTTAGGACATCTCTCATTGGCTTGAGGATGCCAATATCTGTTCATCCTTCAGTTATTTCTTTGATTATAGAGAAAATATAAGGCACAAGACTATAAATTTTAAGATAGAGTACTAGAATGGCCAGAAAAACATCCTCAATGAGATATAGGGAGCCCTGGCTTTATTATCTTAATTAAGCATTGATTACCAGAATTGACTCAATATTTATCTGTCCTGGTTAGGCTGGTATTTTCTCTTACCTTGCTCTGTGAATGGCGTTGAGATCATTTTAAGAGAGCCACCCTCCCTTATAGATAAGTATTTTGGTTTAAGGCACTGATTTCTCATCTGGGGCTGATTGTCTTATGAGGGGGCATTTGGAAATGCCTGGAGACATTTTTGGTCATTACAGTGGGGTGGGGTTGGAAATGGGATGCTTTAGGCATCTACTTAGTGGAGTCCAGAGAAGCTGCTAAATAAACATCCTCTAGTGCCCAGAACAGTCCTCCTCATCAAAGAATTATCCTGCCCAAAATATCTAGTGCTGAGGTTGGGAAGTCCTGGTTTAGGGTATGCATGTAGATTTGCTACCTTGCCGAACTCCCTAAGAGGTTCTCAGGGTTCTTTAATAATCAGTTCTATTGGCTAGTTGGTTTGCTACCTTTGGCAGAAGTTATTTTTTATGGATTATAGGTATATTACTTAGATGGGAGGACTGGGTAGATGCTTGGAAATTCTGATGTTTAGTCATAGTTGATCTTAGAAACTAAGGAGTATCATTGTTGACAATAAGGTATTTTTCTTAGTATTGTGAATTTGCGTTGGTAATAAAGCATGCCCGTATGTTTTAGAAATTAAAAATTCTTGAAGCATGTGTCCCCTCCCTCTTCACTTTTAAGGCTCTTATGAATCACTTTAAATTACTTTTATGATTTAAATAATTAGTTCCCCTGATATTGTTCTTTAGAATCTGGATTCTCCCTCAAGGTTGGTACCATGTGCAATCACAGCATAAATCCACACAAAAATCAGTAGATGCTTTAAAATTGCTCTTTTCTGTTGAATCATTCTTTTTACCTCATTAATGAATTCTAAAGCAAACAAGCCCCAGTGCAAGTACTGTATTTAAGTACAATGTTGAGAGAGAAAGATGAATTTTGTTTTGTAGTCTACCTAGATTCTTGGAAAGTTATTTAGGCCATTTGATCTTCTGTGTTGTAGAAAATTTTGGCATTTAAATTGTAAGCTAGGATTTCCTGGTGATAATAACAAATAAGAACTCAGAATTTCCAAAGGTTGGTAGATGTTAGTTATGAGAATTATCCAGAGACTAAAACATATTTATATTTACATTTGGTGGTTAAGTAATAGAACTTTTCCAAGTGTTTATTTTTTTAGTATCACTATCACTAACAATACTCATTAAGTGCTTACTTTGTACTTATGGAAAGCACTGTGCTAATTCTTATTAGGAAATTCGATGAAGATCTGGGGATAAGTGGAAGGTGTTGCATGGATACTATTCCAAGATTGGTAGTTTCTCTTCTACAATAGTAATAATAACCATCATTCTTGTAAAGTAAGATTCATTTTCTATTTTATATGCCTAATTGAAGTAATATGAATAATTGGCTAGTTATGGGTTAAAATGTCTTAGAAATTTTCATATTTCTCAAGTTTCATGCTCTGATGACATTGGTCATCTTTTCTAAATTAATTAATGTTATACTTCCATTTCAAAAATCTAGTTTTTTCTTGTGAGGATATTTCTTAATTGTTTCTCCTTCTTCTTCTCTTTCTTCTTCTTCTTCTTCTTCTTCTTCTTCTTCTTCTTCTTCTTCTT